TACTCATTCATATCCTTTGCCCATTTATCTAATGGGTGGTGGTTTTGCAACTGATTCATTAAAGCTTTATTTTTTTAAAAAAATTCATTCATTCATTCATTCATGCATGCATTTATTTATTTATGGCTGCGTTGGGTCTTCGTTGCTGCCTGCAGGCTTTCTCTAGTTGTGGCGAGCGGGGGCTCCTCTTCGTTGCGGTGCACGGGCTCCTCATTGCAGTGGCTTCTCTTGTTGCAGAGCACCGGCTCTAGGCGTGCAGGCTTCAGTAGCTGTGGCACGCGGGCTTCAGTAGTTGTGGCTCACAGGCTCTAGAGTGCAAGCTCAGTAGTTATGGCGCATGGGCTTAGTTGCTCCATGGCATGTGGGATCTTCCCGGACCGGGGCTCGAACCCGTGTCCCCTGCGTTGGCAGGCAGATTCTTAACCACTGCGTCACCAGGGAAGCCCCCATTAAAGCTCTTGAAGTATTAAGTATGTTAGACGTTTGTGATGAGTTGCAAATATTTTTCACCCCAAATTGTTGTTTTTCTTTCACTTTTGTTTCTGGCATCTTTCTGCTATGCAGATACCTTTTATGTTTATGTGGTCCAATCTATCAGTGCTTCTTTCTTGGTCTCCGGAGTTTGTATCCATGGAAGGGATTTTAAGTAGGGATTAATCGAGGTTGGTCATTTCTGGGAGTTAGGACAAGCTGGAGGGGGCTGATGTGAGGACAGACCAGTGGGGTGAGACAGGAAGCTTCTGGGGTGGTGGGTGGGAGGGAAGAGGTGCCGTTTCTGCAGGCAAGGCTGGTGAAGGCAGGGGTTGGCCTCTGCACTCAGGGCTCCCAATCTCACACCCCAATCCAGGAGGAGCTGGAGTTCTGCGAAAAGTTGCTACAGACCTGTTTCTCCACCCCGACGGACGACAGCATGGATCGGTGAAACCCGGTGGCTTCTCTCCCTCTCTTTGTGGGAACCCCAGGCCTCCTGACTCCCCCTCACCCACGAGGCCCTCTCCCAAAGGAGAGCAGGGCCTTGATGGTGCCGGGGCGTGTCAGCCCGTCTCTTCTCAGCCCTCAGGAGGGGCGCTGAAAAAGGCACTGGCTCCTTGGACCCCACCTCTCGCGCACTCTCACTCCATTCCCCCTTCTCGTGTCCACACTGGTCTTCCAGTAAAGGTGTTTCTCCACCACCACCTCCTTCACTGCCACCTTTGTCACCTCCCCTGGAGAGTGCCTTGGTTGGGGAGGAGGGGCACGATCTTAGGGGACGTGGGGAGCCATGGAGGGGACAGCAGCGGGCGGAACCTGGGAATAATAAAAGTGTTGCTATCTAAAGTCCAGAGCCATTGTCTTCTTTCATCCTCCTGGCCTCTCTGGAGAAGGATTGTGTGGGATATTCCTCCTCTTTGGCCCCCACCGTCCCTGCAACTACTCCTCTGTTTGAGGACTCTCAACGTCATACACCCGCGCTGCTGAGCCTAAGGCGTAAGCCAAGTTCTCTCCCGGCAGGACGTGCAGGGCCGGGGGGTGGGGGCATCACGTGGCTTCAGTTCTGCCAATCAGAGCTCGCCGTGCACCTGCTCGCGAGCTGCGGCCGGAGAACGGGGAGCACGTGCCGGAGGTCCCGCTGTACTGCCCGAGCCAGGGCTAGAGGTCACTATGGGTGCCTGGGGCAGGCCGTGGTTGGGCGTGGGCTTTGTCCCGACCCGAAAGTGCTAAGCCTTTTCTCCAGCCTTCTCCGAGATTGGGAGGCGAGCCGGGACAGAGGGAAACTGCCTTGCCTCCTTTAATAAATTCCTTTTCAGTTTAGTCAAAGGAGCTTTCCTTTACAACCAAGAGTCCTGACCGGTGGTATATTTCAGACGAGGAAGCTGAGCCCAGGGTGGTTGATCCGTGGCCAAGTTCATAGCCAAAATTTAGTCCTGGGCCAATTCCAAAGCTGTGCCCCTCCTCCCTGTATCCTGGTTTCCTAGATAATGCCAGACTAATTCCTCTCCTGTGGAATTTACTTGTACGGGAGGGAATGGTTATTTCTTCACTCCCCTTCCCAAATTCAGGATAAATCGAAAGGTAGCTACAGGATCCGAGAATTGGAGATAACATATAACCTGTATCACTTTTAGAGCAGACATGAGAAAGCGGCATTGGTCTTGCTGCCACTTCACCCAGCATTGGATGTGGTTGTCTGGTCATAGGCAGTGCAGTCCTTCCCCCTGGGCAAGTGCAGTCCTTCCCCTTGGGTGCAGGCAGCAGGTCAGAACACTGGGCAAGCTGGCTCCAAGAGGAGGGAAGCTGGAGGGCTGAGCCGTGATGCCTATCCAATCCAGTAAATCATTCCTCAGCCTTTGGAAGGGGTGAAAAGGCAAGGAAAGAGACAGCAATAGAAGTTTCTCCATGTGGAAATGTGAGCAATGGGGAATGAGTGTTCCCACCAAACACTTTTTTTAAAATAAATTATTTTATTTTATTTATTTATTCTTGACTGTGTTGGGTCTTCATTGCTGCGCGCGGGCTTTCTCTGGTTGAGGCAAGCGGGGTCTACTCTTCGTTGCAGTGCACGGGCTCCTCGTTGCGGAGCACAGGCTCTAGGCGCGCGGGCTTCAGTAGTTGTGGCACGTGGGCTCAGTAGTTGTGGCTCACGGGCTCTAGAGTGAAAGCTCAGTAGTTATGGCGCACGGGCTTAGTTGCTCCGTGGCATGTGGGATCTTCCCAGACCAGGGCTCGAACCCGTGTCCCCTGCACTGGCAGGCAGACTCTTAGCCACTGCACCACTGGGGAAGCCCCCCGCCCCCAAACACTTTAAGAAGCTCCTTCCAATTCTAATGCAAAGAACAGCATTGTCGAGCTGTGAGTTCTGACAAGGTGGAGACCCAACTTCAGTCCTAAGCCCCTGCAGCTTCCCAGGTTCTTGGAGATGGACTCTGTCAGCTTCTCAGGTTCCATTTGGTGATTTAATATGGCCAACCCCCTGCCCCTCAGTTCCTGAGCTTATGCGTTAAAAGTGTGGCAACTATGCAATCGTATTGGGGAAAAAGCAAGCAAAATGCTGTGCAAACGACAAAAAAAGCTGATATAGAAGATGATTCAAGGAACAGAAGGAAATGCCTCACAAATGCTTCAAGCTGTATAACAACAGTAACCTGTGTCCATTTTTAAACAAGACCTCAAAGATGAGAAGGTAAGCTTGGCAAACCTAAGGAAACAAATCGAGGACTGTGGTAATTAATAAATTAGATAGTTCAACAAATATCTGCTCCCTCTCATTGCACCTCCATGAGAGAATTACATTTCCTCACCCATGGTGGGTGGGGCGTAGGTGCCTGCCCCATGACTTTGGGGTTGACCACGTGACTTGCTTTGACCAATGGATGGTGGCACATGTGAGGCAACCTGAGACTTGAAATGTGCTAACACAGTTTGGCTTGATCTGAGGTGCCTGTCTTTTCTTGTGAGATGGTGCCCTGGGATGTCCATTGGTGCCCAGAGTACGAGAGACATGAGGAACAGAACCAGCCTCACCAACCTTCACACCTGCAGCTCTAAGCTGTGAGCATGATAGGTTGTGGTTGCCTGTCACTCAGCAGTAGCTAAGAACATCACATGCAACAAATACACTGGAAATAGCAAGGAGCAGAAGAGACACGGCTGTAAAATGAAATTACTGACATGTGGTAATCAGCAGATGCAGGTAGACATGACAAAGATTAAAGCAGTTACAGAGAAGCTAACAGATGTTAAGCACAAATGCATAACTGACATCCTTGAAATAGAGAACAAACAACAGTAAAAATGTCCCTGAAATGGAAAAGGTAAATCTGCAAGTTAAAAAAATTTTAGATGCCGAGTCCTTACACGCACTTACAGCGCTGATTCTTACAAAAGGCCTGTAACATGGCAAGAAAGGGGTATGAAAATTGAGGAAACTGAGGATCAGAGCAAGATGGGACCTTAAAGAACATGGACACAAAGTCTAGGAGAACCCTTCCAGTCGATGTTGTCAGAGGATACTTGGTGCAGCGGCTGGCAACAGTAAAGACACGGCCTGGGCAAAGGCCTAGAAGTGGGACTGAAGTCAGCCCAGGGCACAGAGGAGGAAGGCGTCGAGAAAGATCGCGGCGGGACAAAAAGCTCCTGGCCGGGGTTGGAGAGGAAACCCGAGATGGATTGCTCAGGAGCCGACCCTGGAGCCGAAGCAGG